CTTGGATTTGAAAACACTGAGACCTGACTTTTCACTGTCACTGATAGCCAATAAAGCACTGCCTCTGTTAGGTTAAGAAAACCAACCAAATTTTACTAAGTCTTCAACTGCTCTTGAGGGTTTTTGTTGCTTTTGCTTTGTTTTTAATTCCTATTCACATTTCTCCTACAATTCAGCTCAAAAACCATTAGGAGGGACCAAGCAAAGCAGGTATCTGTGAAGTGGGTTGGGTAGGATGGTCATAATCTGAATGGGGTGAAGAGGATGTCCCATGGCTAATGGGAACAGCCTGGGTCAAGGTGTCAAAGCCCAATCAGGGAAGGAGGGCATGTAGCTCAGGAAGAAATATGTCAGAGCTCAGCAGGTGTGGGCCCCACACAGAAGGACAACCTGAGGCAAGCTGCTATACCCTAGCATGGTAAGGAGGCATCCCCACAGAGGAGAGGGAACGCCTGAACAGGATGGGGAGGATGTCCCAGTGAAGGTCAACAAGATGGCAGCTCAGAGGGGGGAGTTATAGCCCAAGCTGGGTGAGGAGGGTATTCACACATGGGGGGTTGGGCAAAGGGGACTGAACAGACAAGAGCAAAGGCCTGAACAGTAAGTAAATATATTACGGAACCAGATTTCTCACTTTTAGAAAAGAGGTACAAACAAGAAAAAGAAGAAAACTAGAATATACCCCACGGTGTTAAACTGGAACTAGATGAGTGTGAATTCATGTAATTTTCTATATATGAAGACACAGAAATACATACAGACGTAAGGAGGTGTGTGTACATACATATACTCCCTATCTCCGCTCACTGAGAAGGCCTAGAAGCAGCAATAAGCCCTGGGGGTATCAAGATTTTTCTTTCTAAATATCACTATTCTCTAAAAGCAACCAGGGCCCGGGCCAACTCCAGGACGCATGGAAAAATGTGAAAGATGTCTATGTCAACAAAGTGATCAAAGAATGCTATAGGCATGTCAAAAGGACACAGGACTTAAACTGCTGGACTGTGCACTCATAAGCGGTTAAAATGATGCATTTTATGTGTTTTTACAATTTAAAACTAAAGGTCATGAGAACTGGCTAGAAGCAGCTTCTACCAGCTAATTTTGGATAATTAGAATATCATTATAGGCTTGGCACCTGTAGGACAGAGGTTATGGCGCCAGCCACATACACCAAGGGTGGCGAGTTCAAACCTGGCCTGGGCCAACTAAATAACTGCAACCAAAAAATGGCCCGCTAAACAGCAATGACAACTGCAACAACAACAACCAAAAAATAGCCAGGCATTGTGGCAGGCACCTGTAGTCCCAGCTACTTTTCAGAGCTGTGTGTGATGGCTCCCTGCTGTTCAGGAGGCTGGGGCAGGAGGATCACTTGAGGCCAAGAGTTTGAGGCTGTAGTGGACTACAATCATGCTTGTGAATCATCACTGTATTCTACCCTGGACAATACAGTGAGACTCCATCTTTTTAAAAATAAGAAATCCTCTTTTCAGAACAAAAATTCTAAGGTATAGTTTAGAACACATTTACACCCAGGGAAGAGTAAAGTCTTTCTTCATAATCTTCTCATCTGCCTGTCTTCAAGGACTCCATGTTGTGGCTGCCATCAATTGTATGTATGTACGTATCCAAAACGTGTGGGATTTAGTTTATAAATCTCCTGTTGGATTTTCAGAATCTTTCTGGAAAGCATAAAGGACAATATCCTGAAATTTTCCCAGCTACTTGGGAGGCTGAGGCAAGAGAATCACTTAAGCCCAACAGTTTGAGGTTGCTGTGAGCTGTGATGCGACAGCGCTCTACCCAGGGCGACAGCTTGAGACTCTGTCCCCTCCCCACCCCCCCCAAAAGAATATTTGTCTAAGTGTTTTGTAGAAACAGGGTTGCCCGAGTTAGTCTTAAACTTGTAGCCTCAAGTGATCCTTCTACCACAGCCTCCCAGAGTGCTGGGATTACTGGATTACAGGTGTAAACCACTGTGCCCGGCCTGTTAACTTTAATTTTAAAGCCAACCTTTCTATATCAGCATCCTGCCTCAGAATAATTTAGTTGTCTAAATGTTTGATACATGTTGTATTTTACTGACAATCACACAGCTTGTACTAATGTGGCTTCTCTCACAGACTTTTAATTTCTAAATGACACCACCACATCACACCTCACAGCAACCTCCAACTCCTGGGTTTAAGCGATTCTCTTGCCTCAGCCTCCCAAGTAGCTGGGACCACAGGTGCCTGCCACAACTCCCAGCTACTTTTTGGTTGTAGTTGTCATTGTTGTTTGGCAGGCCCAGGCTGGATTCAAACCCACCAGTTCTGGCATGTATAGCTGGTGTCTTAACCGCTTGAGCTACAGAGTCCAGACTTTTAGTTTCTAATTTATAGCTTTATTTCTAAACACATTCAACATTCCAGGTCATGTCAAGGCCTATGAATAATAAATATTATGCAAATGAAAACTCAATGACCTACAATTTTTCTGTTATAAAATCGATTACGTTTAGAACAGAGTTACACTGTCGATAGTTTAAATGGGTACAAATTTTCTAAAAGGCAGTCTGGCAACATATTTATATATATACACTTATAACATATACAACATACATACACACATTATTGCTCAAAACAAAGTAGAATAATAATCTCACTGCTTTCTCTGCCAGACAGTTCCTAGCTCAAGCTCTGTGTTCCATTCATGGTGCTGACGTTATCTAGACAGACTAACCTAGGCAACCCTGTCAAAACAATTTTAAAAATTAGCCAGGCATGTTGGCGTGTGCTTGTAGTCCCAGGACTCAAGAGAATGAGGTGGGAGGATCACTTGAGCCTAGAAGTTCAAGTGTGCTATGATCACAACACCACATTCCAGCCTACCTGATAAAGCAAGACCCAGGAGACCCTGAAGAAGGAAGAGAAAAGCAAAAGAGGGGAGTAGAAGGAAAGAGAAGGGGAGGGGAGGGAGAGAGCTGCATTCCAAGCTGTGAGTCTTTTCTTTCCCTTCTGCCTCTCCCAATTTCTCAGCAGCACCATCTCTACTGGAATAAACCACCACAGCATGCCGACCTTCCTAGCTTCTGTCTTATGCCACAAAACAACCTGCTGCTAAACTGTGAAAGATCTGGTAGGTAGGCAAGGTCCATACCCAGACCACATTAGACACAGTGCAGCGGCTACTATCTGGACTACTTGGTATGTGTGGTGTGACAGTAGGTGACCACTTACGGGCCAACTATTTTACAATGCATGGAACCTGTGAGATATTAATACCATCTCTTTTTAACTCATAAGGAAACACAAAGGGTAAGCAACATACCCAAAGTCATAGAGCTAGTAAGTGACAAGGTCAAGACTAA